GGTCCTTTCCAGCCTAGGCCAGTCTAGGATTTACAGAGTTCTTTGCTGTTACTAATGGCACATACTCAAAATCTTTCCTTTTTTTTTTTTTTTAAATCAGTCTTCCTAGGTACTGTTTTTCACAGGTGTCGTACTGCATAAGACCCACGCAAAACTCATTCGAAAATGAGTTTTATCTCACTAAATGTGTTCTGGGACCCAGGGATCTGCGTGGTGTGCCCGATTATGTTGAGGAGTAGAGGAGGGCCCAGTAAGACGGGGCTGAGGAGTTTGATGACACTAATGGAGGGTGAGGGTGCAGAGGGGTGACTTCAGCGCACTAGACAAAAACCTTGCGTGACTTCTGACTGGCCTCGTTCTGATCCTTGTAGGAGGCACTGTTGCTTCTTGCCAGTAGGTTTTCACCAAACAGTTTTCAAATACGAGCAGATTTGTGGTATCCCTTCAAGCCTTGGTGTTGTTGTAAACTTCCTGCTACTTGTAGATTGACAGCAGCTGCATTCCATTAAAAAAACCCCATAATTTGTCTCTTCCGCTCCTGTTATGAAAATTCTTTGCTTGTTTGTGAGTACGTGGCTCCCAAGAGCTGAAGTGCGTGCAGAGATTTTCTGGGCTCTGGCTCAGGCATGTTTTCAGACTCTGGTGTAGGTTTTCAGCTGTGCGGTCCCACACGGGATGTCCTCTGGCTGCTGGCCCGATGGGGCGGTTTAAAAAAGAACCGGCCCAGGTGAAGGTCTCATTCTTCTGTCCTGTCAGGAATACTTGCAGAACTATGACAGATCTGAGCGTTTTGGTTGTTCTGACGACATCAGTTGATGCTTGCAGGGGGTGCTGATGTCTTGAGGGAGTTTGTGAGTGCCTGCTTGGATTCAGAGCAGTCACAAAATCACAGAATTACTGAGGCTGGAAAAGCCCTCTGAGATATCAAGCCCAGCCTATGACCCAGCACCCTCACATGGGTGGGCACTAAGTGCCCCATCCAGCCCCTCCTTAAACTCCTCCAGGGACGGTGACTCCAGCGCTTCCCTGGGCAGAGCATCCCAGTGCCTGAGCACCCTCTCTGTGAGGAAGGGCTGCCCGAGATCCAACCGAAACCCTCGGTGACGCAGTTTCAGTCAACGCTGATGACTTCTAGCCCGACTCGTGTCGTTGCAGTCTCTCCCAAAGCAGTGGCTTTGCCTGTTTGAGCCCCTCAGCCGGCTCAAAGTCTTCTGTGAGATGCGAGCGCAGGTATCACAGAGTCCTCGTTGAGGAAGTCAGAACTTAAGAGGTTGGGGCCCACCCGGGGCGACTGTGAGCACAGCGCCTCAGCAAAGTTTTGTGGCTGTTAAACTGAGTAAACAGTAACGCTCCACGTTTGGTGGCCTTTCTTCTCCTGTGATTAATGGAGAGCTTGACTTTGGGAGGTGCAACGCTACCCCGTGTCTCCAGGGGAACACTCGTCTCCGCTGTAATTATTAAAAAGAACTCTTCAAACTGTCACTGCAGCCCCTGCAAGATTGTAATCGGAGAGTTCAGATTTGGGGTTAATGGCAAATCATTGCTTGGTGGAGGCTTTTTGAGACTAAAAAGCTGGAAGTATTCCCACAGCTGTTGCTCGCAAGTGTCGCATCCAGTTACTGGTTCTCATTTACTGAATATTGTGGGATAGCTCACGGTGCAATATGAATGTTGTGCTGTAAAGCTGTCACACTTTAGGCTTAGGAATAAATTTATCTTTGTCCTCAGTTCCATGCAGAGTAGAGGAAACCTTGCTGTTGCCTTCTAGCTTTCTAGAAATCGTGTTTTTTCCTGAAATTATTCAGCTCTAGGTCAAAGGTCTTAGACAAGTCTTATTCCTAAAACTGGAGAAGCTGTTTGTCAGGATATCTGCTGGCCAGCTTTTACCCCGGGGTGATCCTTTTGTGATGGTATTCTCGGTTACGTGTGCTTTAGAACATACTAGATGCGTTCTCACTTTGTCTGAAATTTAATACCGACAAATGCTTCAGCAGCAGTCGACTGACCTCTCCAAGGAACCTGCATAGCAATAGATGAGCTGTCTCTTTTCTAGAGCAGTTTCTTTTCTCTATTCAATAAAGAACTTGCTCAGCTTTCTAGAATCTTGCCTGCACTAAGGCCTCTGTCGTCCTGTATTTTAATTTTCTTTAATAAGGCTATAGTGGGTGTCATCCTGCAGCTTTGTGATGAATTGGTTTTTTTCCTAATAAAGCTGGATCTAGCAGATAACGCCCGAGTGAGGAGATGGCATCGCAGGACAAAGTGAAGGGGGCTGGACACGGTGCCCGAGCTTGTCGCTGTCTTTTGAGGCAATGACCTTATCTGCAAAGCTGCATCGTTTCTATTTAGGAACGAGCCTGTCCTGTTAAACGCGGAGCAGAGCTGGGAAACGAATGAAAAATGACGCCGTGCGTCTGAAGGACAGAGTCCTTTTTTTAGCTTCTGACTGGGTCATGTGTTTGTCCCCTGGTTCTGCTGTGGCGTGCGTAGGGTCTAATTGGCGGCCGGTGATAAATGCTGGTGTCAGAACATTTGTTAGGAATTTGCAAATAAATCGAATCTGGGCTGCAGTGGGCTGGTGGTGCAGAATTAATTTATTTCTGGGTGTAGAATAGTATTTATGTGTGCCACGTTGCTATTCGATGTTAAATTGCCTATCAAGAACAAGCGCTATATTATATATTGAGGACGTCCGCACGTGACTGGAAAGAGGAGGAGATGTTTGTTGTCATCTCAACAACTCAAACGCTAGCTGGCAGCTGACATTGAGCTGTGCTGCGGCAGCCCTTTGCAGACCACGGAATGGTAGATTTCCCTGTGCACTGCAAAAAATGTCGGGAATCTGAGGGGGCAGGGAGGGAAGAAAGTTTGGTGGCAAATATCTGAAGTGAACCATCCTTTTTTCTCACATCATCCGCCTCCGTATGTCACTAGGTAAAGGCTGGGGAAGGCACATCCAGCAAGGGAACCCCGCTTCGATACGGATCCTTCAAGTTATCAGACATCAAACGTGAGGTTAATTGCCTGGCATGGGAGAAAATCCGTGCGATTCGAAGGCAGCGAGGTTGATCTGCAGTGCAGTTATCTGTGTGGGGAAGCTGCATGCCGTGTTTCCCCTGCTATTCCAGGTTTGCTGCAAGTGCAGAGAGCTTGGGTCTCCAGTCAGGGGCTCACGGGGAAGCAGTTATCCCTCCTAATGCCATGCGGGATTTGCTGGTGACGCTGTGATTGATTTTACTTTTAACGTTTTCTAGTGGGTGTGTAGCAGCAGCCTGAGGACAGCCCTGTGTAGAAGTATGTTATAGAGGAGTGAGCTCTAGTCATTCTTGGATTTTTTAGCAGCAAGGGTCTGATGGTTTTGTATTAGGCCAAAGTGAGATTAGCCTCTCGTTTTAGACTAGCCGTTTGGTGAGACTGCGGTGGATCTGAATCTGAATCTGACCATCTGAAGTCTCCTGGGCCAGGGTGAGGCTGCCTTAACCCAAGAAGTGCTGATCGGAGCTCTTCACAACACGCCCCAGATTGCCGTCTGCCTTTGTACGCAAGCGATAACTTCTGGAAGTGAGAGGCTTGCTTTGACTTGCTGGTAGTGCAGTTCCTTCTCTGACCGAGGCGACAATTAAAGGGCAAGAGGCGGTCTGTAATCTGTGTGCTCAGTGCCTCGCCGCGCGGCTTTTGGAGCGGCTGGATGTAGCTGCAGCAATGAGACACCAGCAGATTTTTTTTGCTGGCTGGCAGGACGCAAAACTTGCCTCCTTCCAGGCAGTTGCTAAGTTTACATCTGAGTGCTTGTGCTTTCGTAACAAGGCTTTTGACCTGATGCTGTTTCACGCGTCCGGCCAAGGCCCCGTGGTGTGACAGCCTAGAAGCCAGAAAGGTCTGGGGATGTTGTGCAGTCCAGAAAACTGACTCACTCGCATAACCTTGGGCAAGTCACAACCTCCTTTGGGAGGCAGGCCAGGTAGTTGCCTGTGCAAGGCAAGTTAGGGACTGCTGCTGGATCTAGGCCTTCAGGAGAAACCAAACCTGGGATAAAAACACCCTGGAAAGTGCTGTTATGTTAATCTTTGTCATTTAATTGTTCCTTCCTTGAGTCAGAAAGCTCTAAAGTTACATGCTCAGGTCTTTCTTTTTCTCTGATATTTTAATTTTTTTTCTCTAAAGAGGATGAGAAACGCAGGAAAAGGGAAAATCAGATGCACCTCGAACGCTTACGGGCACTCCTCATCATAACTTTCATAGTGCTGATGTTTCGATTCACCGTCAGCGAGAACAGAGAAGGGACCAACATTTCCTGGAACTACTTTGTGAGCGAGATGCTGTCAAAGGGGGAGGTTCAGAGAATCGAGGTGGTGCCAGAGAGCGATATCGTGGAAATTTATCTGCATCCCGGAGGCACTCCGCATGGACAAGTTGTGAGTGACTTTTTATATTGGAATGAATGATCTTAGATTAAACTGTTGGAAAGAATTTAATTAATTAATATACACATTTGGTAAAACTCGAGCTGGTAAATTTGCTCTTTGTTAATCTTTGTCCCTCTTGAAGTTCAGGGGACTTCTATTACTCATATCAATGTGGAAACTAATACTTTTGTTCTAAGTTGTAAAAATAATCAGTAGCAACCTGGGAGAAAGTTGTATGTATGTCTAAAATGCTGGAAAAATTCAATATTTTTTTTCTGCTGGCCCAGACTGATATGTGAGAAGGTGTCTAGAAGATTAGAAGCTCTTTTTAGTAGATCTTGTTTTTAAAATTTTCTCCTATTTGAATTTTCATTTTGAGTGTTCTGTCAAACGCCAGCAGACTTCCTTCTTTCAAAATGGAAACAGCACTTAGATCACACACTTACTTCCAGGAGTTGCTGGGAAGAATCTTTACAAAGCGGCTTGAGAGATAAAAGTACTGTTCTTGGATGTGTCCCATTTTGTTCAGGGACTTAGGACCTGTTTGCAAACCACTGGATGAAATTAATTTCTGACAAGTACAGAAACAAGATCCGAGAAGTCTGAGTGGAGCACGAGACGCCTCCTTCCCGATGGGGTTGTTTTCCACCCGTAGCACCAAATTTTGTCTGAGCCCGAGGTGTCTGTGTAACAGGGCTGGTAACACCCTGCCCTTCAGCTCGCCTAGAAAGTTGTCTCATCTCTGTCTAGAGAGCTGAGACTTTACTTCTTGACTTGTGGGCTTTCCTGAGGTGCTGCAAAGACGAGAGGCTCGTTAGGAGCCCTCGTGGTGGTGATCTCCCCCCGAGTTGGTCGATGCTGTCTCACAGGGTGTGGGGTACAGCCGGCTCCTGTCTGACCTGTCCGTGTCGCATGCTTCTGCTCGTTGCTGCATCTTTGTACCACGAGACTTACGTGCTGCTTTTGGTTGTGTGTCCCCAGAACGTTACCCTCCTGTACACGATGCGGGTGGCAAACATTGACAAATTCGAAGAGAAGCTGAGAGCTGCGGAGGATGAGCTGAATATTGATGAGAGAGAGAGAATCCCCGTTTCCTACAAACATCCTGGCTTTTATGGAAAGTATGGTATAAATCTGCGCTTACTGTTGTTCTATACGCTGGTGACAACGTCCCTTGCTTAGACCAGAAAGTCACCTTCAACTAAACAGTGTTTTATAGTATAGAACTAAAGAGTGGTCTCTGTTTTGGAGCTTTCAGAAATAGGTGCGCTCTAGATGTACCTTAACGTTTAAGAAGTGAGGATCCCGAGGTGGTGCCTGGAACTGCAGCGTACAGCAGCCCAAAACGTTTCGGGTCGGTGTCAGCAAATCTGAGGAAAGCCTGTGTTCCTGCACAGCTGAGCACTTTTTGCCCTTAGAATCACTTATTCAAGTGCAGACTGGGGCAGAAATCCTGACTCAACAAGTGGTGTTACACCCTGGGCTGTGGAGATGCTGCAGACTGGGGCAGAAATCCTGACTCAACAAGTGGTGTTACACCCTGGGCTGTGGAGATGCTGGTGGGGCAGTAAGCCTGCCCTTGTCGAAACGCTTCACGGAACTCCTGTGGTGGTTTTTCAGTCTGTAAAAATAAACACCTAGTTTTGGCCTCCTTCTCCAGCAGCTGTAGATCAGAGGACAGCCTGCTCTGGTGCTCGCTCCAGCTGCGAGCCGCATACTGAGCAGAGCAGCTTTGATGCCAGCATACAAAATGTTAGTGAGAGGAGGGCTTCTGTTAAACTCACAGCCCTTTTCTGTTGCCTGAAACCAAGAGCCTTTGCTTTAAAAAATAAACCACTCAAAGCTTTTAATTCTGAAATAAGCTATAACGAGCGAGGAGCGGAGAAGGTCTGTCCAAAGACTAGGGAGCGCTGTCTGGGCTTTATTCTGTGCTTTCATACGATGTGCTGGTGGTTTGTGGTCATTTGCTGCTGAGGTGGCTTATTTCCCTTTCTGTTAAGACCAGCAGCTTGTTTTTGCGAAACAGACTTTAATGTGCACCGGAGCACAAACCAGCCCTGTGAGGCTCCCTCGCTGAGCTGTTGAACCTCTGTCACCGATGGCCGTTACGCCGGCGTAGAAAGATGCTTTCTGTAAGCGTGGGGAGAGCGAGTGGCGTTCAGAGAGCTCTCGACTAATTGCTTATTCTGACGCACGGACAGAGATGTAGTGCACAAGTCCTGTCTGCTCAGGAAAGAAATCCCAAGTACTGACAAGAGATAGCATCGTGCCGCTGCAGTTACCTGCCGTGACGGCTGGGTCACTGATTTGTGCATCATCTGCTTTCAGCAGCGCACGGGGTTTGGAGCAGGGCAGTCTTAGCGCTGGAGGTGGGTGTGGGGATGGCCAAGCATGTGTAATTTTTCTTCCCAGACACCTTACCAAAGCGTGAAACAAACGTCATGTTTGTATATGAGTGGGTGCCTGGACTAGATTTTGTCTAGTTACTTGTCCCCTGAGCAACATTTGCACGTTTTCAATACATCGTTTATATGAAGATCATATTTTTCTAATTGATGGTGCAATATGAGACCTGTAGTTAAAATTCAGAACTTGCCAATTTTTTCCAACTTGTGTACTACAGGAAGAGTAGACTGAACGGTTAGTCAGCCACCAACCCAAGCTGCTTCCCCTGCCCCTGAAAAGAGATTTATCATATTTTTTTAAGAGACACTATAGGCTCTGAAGTGTCCCGAGAGATTTGATGAATGTCTGGAGAGTTCAGAGTCTCATTCTGGAGTTTGAACCTGTGAGATGCAGAGCACTTGCAGCTTGGATTCCGTTTGTTTAAGATGCAGGCACTTGATGTGTTTCAGAATTAATCCTCTTTGCGTGTTGACAGATGAAAAGTGACTTTCAGCTCCCGTGTTGTCTAGGATCTCTCACAAGCGCCACTGGGTATAGCGTGTGCTGGTTCCCTCGCTTCCCTAAATCATCCCTCTGTGAGAGGTGGAACGCGCATTCCTAGTTTCATGATAAGACACAGAAGCGTGGTGAGACCCCAGGTGACTTCACAGGCATGTGAAGCAGAACAGGCTACCACAAATTGCAACCTCTCATCAGGTGTTTTTTTCTCCTCTGGAAAGCATCCTTTGTTTAGAGCTCATGGCATATTTGTCCTCAGCGTGTTTGCCTTCTAACTGTATTAGACCTGCAGTGTCATCTCTGCTCCTCCTCTCCCTCCTAAAGCAGTCGGTGTTGCAAAGGATTCAGAAAAATCGATGATGTTGGTGGCTGTAGCCCGTCCTTCTGGCATAAAGAATTTCTGAGGGACTTGACCAGGGAGGGCCAACCAGACTGGGTAGAGCAGCCTCTTAACGGGAGACCCGCACTGGGATTTCTGCCGAGATTCAAGAAGGTTGCCAGGATTTGGGGAGTGGGAACCTCCCTAGAGTTGCCTGATGTGAGTCCTGCGCAGCGAGCTCCCTTTGGAGGGGCTGCCAGCCCCACTGCTCTTGCTCCGGGGATGATTTGACTGCCTGAAGGTCCTAGTTGTTTTTAGAAGTAGATGGTGAGGTCAGATTTCTTCCCCAGCTGTAAGCAGTATTTGCCAGTGCCCTCTGCTTAACTTTTTAGGTTATGTAATTGGGGGGGGTTGCTTTTTGGTTTTTATAAATACATAAAAACCTGTAAAGGTTCCATTTTCTTAGTCATGTCTGCTCGTTGCTCCACGTGTAACCTAAATGTCAGGACCATTAAAATCCTGAAAATAGCTCTGTTGGGTAATATTTATCAAATTGTGGCCAAACGCTTCAATTTATCCCTGTCCTGTTTGTGTCCTTTTAGTGACATCATTTCCCTGATCGTGACCCTTGTGGCTGTGTCCATGTTGTGGAGCATCTTCCGCCTTATCCGGGTCGCGGGCCGGGTTGGAGGATTCAACGCCTTTGTGAGTATCCTGGATCTCAACGTTGTTTTGCAACCCTTGGGTAGTCTCCCCGTGTTCTGCTGCCCTCATCTCCTCCCCTTTTCCCTGTCGAAGCTGAGGCGGGATGAGAATTAACCGGTGCCGAGGACTCTCCAGTCGTGACACATCTTGCAGCTTTTCCTGTCCTGATCATCTGACTGCTTTGTGCAGGAACTGGCCCGAGCTGAGGCCCTTTCTTTCCCCAGCGGCAGGAAGGGCTGAGCTCAGTGAATTTGCAGGCCCGTTTGCTCGGCTGTTTTCAAAGCTCGGTAATGAGTTGCAGCTGCAGATGGTGTTTTTTTGCTGGGCCCTGCCAACATGCCTCCCGTACAGCCAGGAGTAGGACTCGCTGCTTGCTGCAAAACGAGCTCTCGATTTATAAAACGCGCTCGGGTTCTGGATTTCATTATGTGTTGGCCTGCTCGGCACATGCCACATGCCTCGCTTGCAACATCAGGCGAATCTCCTCCTCCCCCTCTTCCACCCCTGCCTGGATCAGCTGATCAGACTCTGTAGAAATCAGCCTGGGGTGCGCTGCCGCTGACCCCAGGGCTTTGGCATTGAAAATCCCGTGTGTTCAGTCCCCTGTTAGATTTCCCGTTCTGTCTTCTCTGCAGTTCTCTTCTGGCTTTGGGATTCTCGTTACACAAAGGGGTGCAGCTGCTCAGAGGAGAATGTTTTAAAGAAGTGTTGTGTAATGAGGGCCTTGAGGACTAGCTTCTGCCCTTGCATATAAGTGGGGACAGCTAGGCCCTGCGCGTTTAACTCTCTGTTTGGATAAGCTGGTGTTTCGGAGGCCTGAGAAGCTATAAACTTCCTTCTCAAAGAAAAAAATAAATACATTTCCGAGTAGCTGTTTCCAGTAGAACATAATGAGCAGTTATGAGCAGGGCGCTTGAATTCTTGCTTGGACTGTCTCTGTGGCTCAGCATGCACCAGGAGACTGAAATGCAGTTGCCTTACATCTGAGAACCTACACTTCTGGTCCTGGGTTGGGTTGCAGTAGAAACCAGAGGCAGCAGTGCAAACTGGCTGTTTATATGCATTTACAAGAGTTTTAGTAGTTATTTGCCACTGACAGTTATTTGTCAATAGAAATTCCTCAAAATGGTGGCTGTCCTGTGTGTTTTAAGGTTGAGAGCTTTATTCTGTCCCTTTCCAACAACAATTGGATAACGTTTGAGTCCACAATCTGGCTGTGAAGTGTTTCCAAAGCAAAAGTTTGTGAAACACTCAGGCCTTGGTGGACATTTTAGTGTTGTTTGGAGCGGCTTCTACCTGTGCTTTCTCCCCAAGCACAGCAAACAGCTTTTCCAGACTGTTGCCATGTCCAGAGTCAGAGCGTGTCTTCAGTATTTTTGCTGCATTCCACAGAACCAGCTGAAAATGGCTCGTTTCACCGTTGTGGATGGGAAATCTGGAAAAGGCATCGGCTTCAAGGATGTAGCGGGAATGCATGAAGCGAAAATGGAAGTCAAAGAATTTGTGGACTATTTAAAGGTATATAAAAGTAGAACGAAATAAGTGCTTGCTGCATGTCACCTGGGATACGTGGCTGACCTGGGGAGGAGGGCATATTCTTCTCTTCATCCTTCACACTGCTGAACAGCCTCTGTGTAAAGAAGCTGACGGTTTTTAACGCTGTGATCAGCGTGACTCGGTCTCTGTATTTCCAATTCCCTAATAGGAACACAGATGTAGCTGCTCCCATGAGCAGTTCAGCGTCGCTCGCCCTGAAAACAGCACCAGGAAGCCTGGGGAGGCTGAATTCTTGCGCAGATGCTTCACGTGAGCTGTGGATCTGACAGAGCTGTATTGTTCTTGCAGAATCCTGATCGCTACCTTCAGCTCGGGGCTAAAGTGCCCAAGGGTGCCTTGTTACTGGGACCGCCGGGCTGTGGGAAGACGTTGCTGGCGAAGGCCGTGGCTACGGAAGCACAAGTGCCATTTTTGGCCATGGCGGGTTCAGAGTTTGTGGAGGTGATAGGAGGTGAGCTTCTCGAGAGGGAGGGTGTGGAGGTTACTTGCTTGCAAGGGACAGAGCTTTAGGCTGCTTTTAGGCAGAGGGAGGATGAGTTGGGTATTTCTAACAAAAATATAAAAGGTTTTCAGTGGTGGAGAGTACTTAATTGTGTAGGACCTAGAGTGCATGCCCTCTGAATTGCTAGTTGTATATTTCTGACAGAGCATCTGTGGTTCTTCACCTGAAAGCATTATCTCTGACGTCCCTGTACCTATTATTAAAGCCACTGACTGAGGCTTCCTTCCTTGGATGAGAGTTCTGATGGATTTTGTGCTGCTTCCTGCTGGTGGGGAAAGTATGGCCTCTTTGTGCCTTGGGATTCCCGTCTTCCTTCTTTTCTTCCTTCCTCCTAGCTCTCTTCAGAGCTGATAAAGGTCGGTGTGCAGGAAAATGCTGAATATTTTTTCTCGCCTGTGGAAGGAACAGAAGTTCATGTTAGACTGGGAGCAGAGCTCCTCTTGCAGCAGCTGCAGGAGTCCCTGCAGCTTTGGGAGCTCAGTTAAAAGCCAGCACGCCCCAGGAGGAGCTGTGACTAGGGACCAAATGTCAGAATTTTGTGGCTCTTTCTTCGTGCCGTGAGCATTGAAAGAGGGAGTGTCATATACTGAGGGTTTGTCTGTTGCCTGTGTGTCGCTGGGAGCAAGTAATGCCGCTCTCCAGCTTTGCTACAGTTTTAGCTACGAGACTTCTTTCTTCTTCTTGTCCCTTGTAGGTCTTGGAGCTGCCCGAGTTCGGAGCCTCTTCCGAGAAGCCCAGGCTCGTGCACCCTGCATCGTGTACATCGATGAAATCGATGCAGTGGGCAAGAAGCGCTCAACCAATATATCTGGTTTTGCCAACGCTGAGGAGGAGCAGACCTTAAACCAGCTGCTGGTGGAAATGGACGGTCAGTGTTTCTCTGTGCCTCTCACCAGTTGGGCCCTTATCACCTTAGAGAGCCGAACTGTTGGCCCATACGTCCTTTTCCTCTTCGAACTTGCTGTGCCTCTTTAGTAATTGCCATTGCAGTGAAACAAATCTCATTCCCCTCATCCCTGGGACAAGGCTAACTTGCACTTTGCAGCCTGTTCAGGGCTAAGCCCAGAATTACAACTCGATCATGTCCTTGCTAAAAGACTCTGTACGGCAAGGCGTGACTGTGTTTCGGCCTGCTGCTTAGAGAAGGGGCTGTGGCCCTGAAAGTCACGATGTTTTTTTTTTTTCCCTTTGTGAATTTGTATCAACAGCCACGTGGGTATCCACCTGATAATAAAATCGGCGGAAAATGTGCATTAGAGATCACGGCTGGCAGAGGGCAGCAACCCCAAAGACTCTTACTGTAGTAAATGGCTTCAGTTTGGGAATATGTTTTCCCACTGGCAATTGGAGAAGGATTATTTACAGGACTGAGGAAGCAAAAGAAAATGAATTGGCAGCAAGGGCACTGCTGTCTGTAGAGGGTAACGTGTTGGTCCAGCTGGCCGTTAAATGTTGTTGGATACTTGCGTTCTAAGACAGGTAGTGGTTGAAAGTCTGTCAAACCTTGAAGTTTAGTTGTCCCAGAGGGCCATAAGCAATGTAATATATCAGTTCTCCTGCCCTTTGTCTTATTCGCATGTTATCTGCCTGGCTGCAGGATCCCCGTCTAAACTGAGAGAGATAAGCTTTGCAAACAAATCCTGGTGTGATGCCACACTTCTGGATGGTTTCTGGCTGTGCTGCGGCTGGAATCGGCCCTTTTCTCAGGCACTTTCACACGAGTGCCAAAACGAATGATCCTTTGGCTGTTCTTAGTCATAACTCTGTCAGAGCGTGCAGCACTGACCCAACTTGTAATGTTTCTGTTGCTAAATCTTCTTTATTGCAGGGCAGAGTAAGGAATAACGAACTACCTGCCTGTCAGGGCGTGTTTGTATCAGTCTGCTGTTTCGTGGGATGGAGCCGCCTTTTCCCTTGGCTGTAACTGTGACATGTGTTGTCCTCATGCTCTTCATACGCAAAATTAAAAGCTGTCCCAGGCTAAAAACATCCCTCTTTCTCCAGACCTTGTTAAAAGAGTTAAAGCTCTATGCTAAAAACAAAAGTGTCTGATTTCCTCCAGTCTGTGGAAATTAGGCATGGTTTCTAGAATGTTTTCTTGGTGAGCTGCAATTCAGAAATGAGGGTACAACTCTGCTGGAAAGCGAGTTACTTGCTGTTAAAGTACATGCCGAGGATAGTATTTATAGTATGTATTAGTCCCTTGTTTGCTGTGTGCTGCCTGGTTTATTTTTAGATTGATACTCCCTCATTATTTATTCCTGTCTCATACAGATCCTGTACAAAGTCCCTCGTTTTGCTAAGTGCTTTATCAAACGCACGCAAAAAAAAAAAAAAAATAGCCCAAGGTGTTTATGGTGTCGAATGGGCGACAGCTGGCAGGGACGCTCAGGCTGGTGCAAAAAAACGTGGACCTGCTGTTGGCTTGTACTCGTGAGCAGTGGTCTTGGCACACGTTACGGAAACGTTATCTAACCGAGCGCGTTACCTAAACGACCGCTCGAGTGCTGTGTGCATCGCGGCAGGCTAGTTTTCGGGATGGTAGTGAAGAGGGTTTTTTAGGAGGTTAGCAGTTCTACCCGAGCACAAGCGGAGGAGTGCTGCGTGTTTGTAACGAGGAAGCCTTGAAATGGAAGGTTGAGAGCTCTGTCGTCGCTGTCTTTGGCTTAGATTGATGGCTGAAGTTCTTCAAGGCGATGCCATAGAACCGAGTTAGCTATTAATTTGAAGGGGGGGTTGAAAATCGTGCGCAAAAGTGGATCTGTGAGTCATCGGCGGCGATTGTTGAATTTGTGTGTTCAAATGAGATTACTCAGAGGTACGGTGGAGGAAGAAAAGGAGGGTCAGAGCTATATGGAACCTGCTCTGCAGGAAGGATGAGGGCACCAAGAAAAAAGCCATTATGCTGAGCTGCATGGGCTGAACAAACGTGCAAGTTAATACTCAGTGATGCTGCTATGCAGATCTGAGAGTTATTGTAGTGCTCTTCCTCCATGACCTTGGTTTCCTTCTCTCGGATGTCTGTCTGCATGTTCTGGAGGCACCAGGAGTCTGGTGGGAGAAGGGGAGGGTCTGGAGGGAGCCTGTATGTACAAAAGCTGTTTTTAAAACCAGTGACACATGTGCTCCAGTCTTTGTCAAAACAGGTGCCTGGTTTGAATAGTGAAATCTTCCCTCACAAACTGCAAACAAGCGGAAGAGGAATGTGACCCAAATATCTGTTCTGAATGCATTTGAGAGGAGCTCGACAGTCCTGGGCTGCTCCCTCTTTTGTGAATGGAAGTTCAGGGATGGCTTTTGGTAGCAGCTCTTCACCTGATCCCTGCTGGATGCAAGTTTCTGACCCCAAGGCTTCCCTCACGCAGGCGGCCCCATTTCGATGCTACAGTTCAGGGATGAAGTCCAAAAGGCTTTGGAACAAACGGCTGGGGAATTACGCGGCAGGATAATGGGGATGAGATGCCCATCAGAGTAATGTGCTGTGTCGGTGGGAGCAGAGCACTTTCCAGTTCCAGTGGTCCCGTTTTTCCTGTCCGTTTTGAAGCGGCTTCGTTTGTAAACATCGTAGATATGAAGGCTCTCTTTAGACTAAATTTTCAGAGCTGTTTTTCATTTGTTGATGTGACCGAGGTGGTGGTTTTAGAGACTGTTCCTCTGCCTGATCTTCGCCTGGCGAAGCCGAAGCCTGTGACACGCCAGGTGATGTTGCGTTGGGAGCAGCAATACGAATCGGAGGCTGCAGTTGTAGATCTCTTGGAGCAGTTTCTCACTGCTGGGATACAGGCTTCAGAGCACGTGGGGCAGAAGCTGATGTGAGGAGGCTGCTCTCGGTGGTTCTGGGTTTTGGTTTAATATTTGTTCTAATAGTCTCTATTTTAAGAGAGCCTTGCCAGCTGCAAAGCAGATAATGTACTGTACCGTCTAATCCTGCCGTGTGAATGAAGCTTGCTGTCCCCCAAGTGCCTGCCAGTCTCTGCTTATTTATCACTCTCCAAAGGGCAGGGTAATACATGCTTGAAGAACGGCTGGCTTGATCTTCCCCAGAAGCTTCTTTAGACAGCGTCCTGCGGAGAGGAAGAACCGAGGCTCGCAGTAGCGCAAGCTGACAGAGCCAGTCCTCTGACTTACCTGTAACCTTAATCTCTCCGCTGAGCTCCTGCACGCTGACACATTTGGCAGCTCTTCTGGCGGAGCGGGAGAGAGCTGAAACTCACCCAGCTTACGTGCCTAAAGCTGCCTCTCCGCAGCGTGTGACTTGGCAGCGAAGGAAGCGCATGGGACTAACGCATCCCTTCCCTGGGAAGGCTGCTGCGTGCCAGGGCTGTTGAATCTGCTCTGAGCAGGTGACTCATACCCAGGAGCCTGTGGGCACCTGGTGGAATGTAATAAATAAGCAGTGTGGTTTGGTGATTCAACATGATCTCTGGCTCTCCACCCAACCGCCCGCCCCTTTCTGCCCCCCGCCAGCTGCTTGGGCTCTGGCTTCCCCAGGAAGCCCTGCCTGCCTTTGCCTCCGTAGCGCGGGCTCCTCTCATGCAGCCTGTAAATCCTGAGACTCCCTTCATCTCTGAGACCTGGAGACAAAACCTTTCTCCAACTGTGGCTTGAGCTAGTTGATGCCAATCGCCCCAGCAAAGCTGTCGGGCTGCGTTTTGTGCCTGCCCACGCGTCTGCAGGGTTGGTCTTTGCGCTGGTCTGCAGCGTGCCTGGGTGCCTTCCGAGTGTGATAAAACATCAGCAAGGAGACAAAAGATCAAATCATGCTGTAATACGCCCTTTGCTGGGTGGCAAGGCTCTGTCCTTTCTCTCAGCATTAACTTGAGCTGGTCAGAAGAAAGCCTGTTCCCTTCCCTAGGGATCCTGGTGGCCTGCGAGTCAATGAAGGCTGAAGGGGCTTTCCCCAGAAATATTTGGGAGGGAAAGGCTGGCTGGGCTAGCAAACATTTGTACAACCTGGAGCTAAAGGAGCAGGAGTTGACTTACGCCTCAGGGGTGAGAAGTCATCTCCAAACCCGTGAGAACAGAGAGATTCTGTTCTGGTTTCTATGTGGCAAAATGAAGGAGTGGGGAAAAAGCAACATTGTAAGCCAAGGCTAATTAAATGAAAAGGGAATTTCAGAGTATCTATGATGGCTGGAAACTGGACTGGGTGACGTGGGAGGTTCCTTTCTGCCTAGTGCTCCTAGCTGAAGAGGACGTTTTCTCAACCTCAGCTGCCCCAAAGAATTCTGAAAACACCCTCTGGCTTCGGAATCAAGCTGCATAAGACATTCCCCGCATCCTGTGGTGTCCCTTTGCATGCTTGTAGTGCAGCATCCATGATGGTGAAAACCTTCACCGTTGTTTCTGCTTGTTTTTCTACAGGAATGGGGACCACGGATCATGTTATAGTGCTGGCTTCCACAAACCGGGCTGATGTCTTGGATAATGCTTTGATGAGACCGGGGAGGCTCGACAGGCACATTTTTATTGACCTTCCAACACTCCAGGTATATTCTACCTACTGCCCTGTCCTTACTGTAACACTAACAACTAAGTTGCCCCAGTCCTTGCTGGTGACTCACTGGCCTAGCAAAGGCTTGAGCTTGGAGAAGATAGAGCTGGCCAGCTTCTGTTTGCCTTTGTTCTATTCACATGCTCTAATTCAAGGGTATGACATGCTAATGCCGTTCCTGGTTTCTCTGAAATGACAACTCACTGGTTTTACTTGTCTCTGCTCTGGTAGGAGCTTTGGCAGTGAATTCTTCCATGAGATTCTCTTTGCCGTGCAGATGCAGAACTGTGTTTGTCTTCTCTCCAGGAAATTGGGAACCACCTAATTGGCAAGTTGGCTTGTACAAAAGCCTAAATTGTCATGTGCCTTGAGCACCATTTGTTCTGTAGGTTTATTGTCCTCGCTCTCCTCGTAAGGCTCCTCATTTTCCTTTAGGCAGCCTGTTAAGTGACTTTCTCCTCCTGAATGCTTTTAAAATCCATTTATGAGGAGTCTTCCATGTCCGCTGTGTTGACATTTGTTAGCAGAGTTTTGGGAATAGGCTCAGCTGCGGTAAAGATCTGTCTGCTCTGCCAGCACAGGCTCTTCTTCACCCATCTGTGCTCTGCTGTCTTCCTCCGAGCTTTCAGTTAAAATACCTTAAATGCCTGATGGAGTCTGGCGCCGGAAGCATGAACTGTGCAGCTGCCCTGAAGGAGGAAGGGGAAAAACCCTGGCAACTGAGCCCATTGTTTTAATCAGGACCTCCTGGACCAGCTGAAATGAGTCACTCGGTGGCTACTTGCCAGCCGTCATCTCGCCCCCACCTTCGTCTGGGAAATGGTCGCGGGGCTGAGTCGCTGCTAGTTGAGGTTTTTTTCGGTTTGCCGTGTGCGAGGGAGCAGGTAGAGGCAGCCGGAGCTCCTTCCTGCGGTGCTTTGACGGCGAGAGAAAAGTTAAGACAGATCAGAGTGAAAGTTAGGGAGGGGAGGGTGGCCCTGAGAAGAGAAAGCCGTGACTCACGGTAAGCCTCCTCACATCTGCTCCGAATTTGAGCGCTGGGCGGTTACAGGGCTCCCGTGTAGCACGGAGACGCTGTAAGGACAGCCCTGCCCTCTGGTGGCAATGTCACCGTCCCCGCTGCTCCTCCCCTGCTCCCGGGCGTGGGCTGGCTGGGCTCAGGCGTTCTGTGTTCCTTACAGGAGAGAAGAGAGATCTTTGAGCAGCACCTGAAAGGTCTCAAACTGATCCAAGACGCCAGCTTCTACTCGCAGCGCCTCGCTGAACTGACTCCGGGCTTCAGCGGTATGACACGGCACGTCCTTGCGGGGCTACTCTGCCTGCTTCTGCGCTAGTTCCGCAGCTTCTCGGCTGCTTACTTTTAACAGGGTGTTTTTTGGTCTAAAGGGCTTTTTCCTTTGAGTCTTCTCTGTGTCTGTGGAAATAGCAGGATCCTAACCAGCTCCCTGGTGAGCTCTGATGAGCAATTGTTTGTGGCTATTTTCAATGTTCCAAAACTTCTGGGACTTAGCAGGGTGTACGGGTAGGGAAAATACAGTTTTATAATGCCTGGGTTCCTGATTCTTAAGGGGAGGAGACAGTGCTCACGCTCCTGTGCAAGCTGTGGTTGAGGATGACATGTTGCGCTTGAGGGGACAGACTCTTTAAGTTGATAAACGTTACCAGGAAAGCAATAGGAGGGATGAGTAGCAATTACTTTGTTGGTCAGAGTAGGAATTGGACAACTCTGCCTGGCTCCTGCGTTAAGCCTGTTTCCACAGTAGGTCCCTGGGAGCTTGAAACAGTGCTGAGCAAGGGGCTCCCGAGTTCCTGTTTTTGTGGAGTTCCTGGAATATCCTTTCTGGGTTTCCCCTCTAACAGGCCCCAGCCCGTCGACTCTTCATGACTTCTTTCGGCAGCCCCCCGCCACCATCACCCACCCACACAAACTCGGAACAGATGTTCTTTCTCCGCGACGCAGAGGTTGTGCGGTCGCTGTGTGAAGGCTGCGGCAGCCTGTGCCAACCCGGACTGCCCACGCCACTCCCCTCTTGCCGAGAGCCAGCCTTGACTTTAGCCCCTTAATTGATTGCTGAACTCTGTCCTCCGTGTGGCAACGCAGCGCTCATTGCCAAGGCAGTTGTATTGTTCCCATCCAGCATAAACACCGCGAACTAGATTTGCTCTCTGTTCCCAAGGAACAACAACAAAAAATGCCGCCTATTTGACTTCCTTAGGTTCTTCTCCAGATTTCTTCTTGCCTCTTCTGTCCCCTGAAACTCTGTCAGGTAACGAATTGAATGTAATGTTTGTAAACTCTTGTCTACAGGAGCCGACATAGCCAATATATGTAACGAAGCCGCTCTTCATGCCGCTAGAGAAGGCCACAAATCCATCGATACTTCCAACTTCGAGTACGCTGTGGAAAGAGTCATTGCAGGTAAGTGAGCCAGCTGGTTCTGTTGTTGCCTTGTTAGTCTGTACCACACTCCTCGAGAGAAGACTTCTGCTTGAGGATGACAGATGAGTCCTAACTGCGCTCTGTCCTGTAGAGTCGCCCTAAAGGCATTAGATGCCCGAGTCACAGCAAGTTCTCTGAACAAGACCCCAAATGGATCTGTTTTCCTGAATCTTCAGGCAGCCTGAACCCATCGCTCAGGGAAAATGGCCAGTAGCAAAACGGTAAAGAGGGGAATTTGGATCTGCGTGGCTCTTTTAGTTTTAAAAGGTTTGTTGTTTTGTTGGGGCTTTTAAAAGGAAAAGAGTGGAAGTATCTCTGGGGTTTTTCTTGCTGCTCTGAACACCTGCTACGTAAACATGAATAGCAAATAGGCAGTGCGTCCTCAACAGCAAGAAATTAGGAGATTTTTCTTTTTTGGCCTCAAAAGCTCAGGCTTTGATGAATTGGCAGAATAAACTGAAAGACAGTAGAGTACTGTTCTCTCTCTGAGAACGTCCTGTTGGCCTTTCCCTGTTGCTTGTGCAACTGCCAGCAGAGGAACCTCTGGAGATTACCCTCCAGCAGTATATTACAGCCAGGGCAAAAAGAGTTCCCAGAACTCTTGACTTCACCCCAGGGATTTGAATCTGGTGGGTTTCGATCTGAGCCACCCTGTAACCACGTTGTGCTTTTCATCATCAGACACTTAATTGCTTCCACTAAACAATTCCTCATTTAAGAGAAGATCTTTGAGAAAATTCCTCACGAGTTTCACCCGCCTCTTAAAAAGAAAGCCTTTGGAGTGCTCTGGGTAACTGTGGCCACGCTTGCACAGAGCCCAATGGTCCTGGGCAGCTCTGAGGAGCGGGCAGTGAGACACCTCTAGTTGTAACGCAGAAGCCCTCCTCTGCCGGAGCAAAGATGTGCTTTCCTTTCCCGTCTGCAGGAGAGCGAGCACCGAACTTGTAGGGATTCACTTGGCTTTTCTTCCTGAATTTGCCAGGCTTGAAAGATAAGGCAAGAAGCAAGTAAGGCCCCAGGGAATGTGGAGCAGAAGGGATGTCTGGGATTAATGTGGTGGGGCAGTTTCACTGCTGACAAGCTGACTTGCTGCACTAAGACTCGAGGCCCTCAAGTCTTTCTGTTACTTAATCGGATTCTTTCACGTTAGCAGGACCTGACTGTTTTCTGTAGACCCCAAACAACCCTCCGGGCTCTTATGGGTTCATATGACATGGGCTTGCCATGTCGTAGGAACACTTCTGGATTTCACAATCCAGAGGGCATTTCAGTTTCTGTGAAAGCTTTTCTTGAAAGAGAGAAGATATTGCCGTGCTTTCCATTAACAAACTTCTGGTTTTAATAAGAGCGGCGTGAAATCAAAAGAGAACTTTGCAACTCCGGAGGCCCTTGTCCGCCTCAAAGCTTTGTGTTGCTGCGAGGGAGGAGTAAGAACTTCTCTCTGTGGTAGTCCCCATTGTGTTTTGAGTTTGGGAACAGAAAGCAGTAAGTCGAGTCTCCTGGGAGCGAGGGCGGAAACCTGCTGAGCGCGCGGAGGCTTTTAGGGGTTGGCTGTAGAAGATGTAGCAAAGCCTGTTGTCCTGGTGGGGTTTGCGTACGTGGTGTAAGGCCAGCGGAGATGCGCCAGAGCTGTTTCCTGGCTCGGTTGTCTCATAATGCGATAAGTACAGGTCTTCAGAGAAACCTTCCTGCCTGGAGATTACTTTATGTAGGAAAAGGAATCATCTTTGTAGGCACACTGTGCGCTGCTGTGAAGAGTACAGTTCCTCCCCCTTGGGTGGGCTGACAAAGGAACGCTTCCAAAATCTAAGTGTGTGTGTGTGTGTGTGTATATATATAGTGTGTGTATATATATATATGCATACACACACGTCTCTCTGTGGAAGAAGACATAGCGGCACACGCACACGTGCTGCTGAAGGCAGGAGAAGGGACTGGCTGATGAAAATGAAGGCTCCTGTGATTAATCTGCGATTCCATCACCGTCATGCCTTGCGGGGCCGAGCGGTTCCCAGGGTCCCCGAGTGGTAATTTTACAAGATCTGTCACACTCGTTTTGCTGTTTCCTTGTTTAATAAAGCTCTTGACTTTGTTTAAAAATTAATGTTAATAGAGTGTTGTTTTCCAAGACATCAAGGAAACTTGGTGTAATTCCACTCTCGCCTCTGCCTGCTTTACCCCCTACTGCTCCCGGCGCTTTGCTGAGACTTTGGCTGTAAAATGTTGGTACCTTTTTGCATTGAACATGCAGAGCTGTGATGAGTGCTTGATGTGCAATGTGTTCTGTAGTTAACATATTTTCTATGTGCTAAAAGTTTACTTCCCTTCAGCTTTTTTTTTTTCTTCTTTTAAATCGTAATTGAACTTATTCAGCATTATGGGCTACTGGGTTGGAAAGCAGACGCTTCCAAAAATCACCTTTTTGGAGGAAGTATTAAGTGTGAGTTATGGCTTAATTTGCCAGTTCTCAGGAACCTGGGAATAAGCTCATATAGAGCATGCCATGTGTAATCAGAGACATTTCCAGGGGCTGGAGAAAGATTTTTGTATATATTCTTGGTCTTTTGCTGATTTGAACACTTCTAATGTGCAAGAACCTCAACTGGGACCTCTCTTATATATAATGCAACATCTTGCTTCCCTCATATTCTGCCTAAGGGACTGAAAGACTGTAAAGGAAGACGGGTATGATATTCTAGCTAGTCTTTGGTTTGGGTTTTGGTTTGTTGGGACTTTTTTCTAAATGGAAGACTCGACTCGTTGCAGCTCCATCCCAGGGCTGAGGTGTGTAACTCGACATACCTTTGGCAGAGCTGGGAGCAGAACAGAGCTTTGTGATCTAACCAAATATTAAAGTCTGTTTCAAGGATGAGAAGGGGGAAAAGTTTCTGACGGTGTCTTCAAGCAATCCAAGCGCGGATTGCTTTCCGTGGGTTGGAGAGCATGTTCTGCAGCAGGTAGTCAAAGCGTTTTTACTGCCAGTATGAAGCTTGGTGTTGGTTTGTACAGCGAAGTGGTGCACAAAATAGCGTTCTGTGTCGTAGACGCCACACCCACACACCCCCCCCCCGTTGGTTACACTCATGGCCACCACGGCCTTGCTGAATCCGTCTCCGTGTCCCTGCAGGCAGTGCCAAAAGAAGTAAGATCTTGTCGCCAGAAGAGAGGAAGGTCGTGGCGTTCCACGAGTCGGGCCACGCGTTGGTGGGCTGGCTGCTGGAGCACACCGAGGCGGTGATGAAGGTAACTGTGCGCTGCCAGCAGTCGCTGGGTGGGAAGAGAGTCCATCGGGGTTCCCTTGTCCACAATGCGTCGATTGTTTTGTAGACTTGTGTTAAATTCTGCTGTGTTTCCCTGGCCTCCGTGAGCTTGGAGCTGTGAGTACCGCAGCGAAACAAACAGCAAGTGTGGAGTCGTAGAATCATCCAGGTTGGAAAGGACTTTTAAGGTCGTCTAGTCCAACCGTTAACGCTGCCAAGTCCACCCCTGAACCACGTCCCTTAAATACTCTGTGGATAAATCCTTTATTAGGCTCCATTGATGATAGCGATGGCGCAAAGCTGATTTACCAGCTCTAGGACAAGCCTTGCAGTTAAAATCCAGCTGAAAAACTCTTTGGAGCGACTGAACCTCCTGCTGCTGCTGCTCATTTTGTGCACCTCTGGGCACAAAGCGCTGCCCTGCGCCCGCAGGGTCTCTT